CTCTATAAGAGACTTGTAGAGCTTTTGACACAGCCAGTTATAGTCTTCATAACAAAACCAACTCCAATTCTCCCAGTTTCAGCTGTTAGTTAGTACTCAGCTGGTGACTCACTACCTCAGAGCTGCATTTAAGTAAAAGTGAAATTAACCTTGCATGTATGGGAAATGTAAGACTCTGACTCTGCCATGCTTAGTCACGCTGGGTTCACTGATACAGCATGGAGTATCAGCGAGGCACATGCGACAATTCAGTGACATTAAACTCCTCAGAATACGGCACAGAGTGATTTGCGATATGGACCAGAATCCCATATCATTGCTCATTCCAGGAAGTGCTTTATTTTAAGATCAGTCTCAGTGTAGGAGAAAGAAATGAATGTCTTCTCTGAATGAGCACAGACAATTGTCTCTACTGCTTATGGAGTTTTGGTCTCAATCTGGCTGGATGGGGGTATAGACAGTAAGTCATTATCATTACCCACTGACATGAATCATCTTAAGGAGAAGTATAAAGTACTTTGTTTCAAAGAAAAAAAAAATCTTTCTTATTTCCATGTATGGAAGGGTGAGATATTTCCATTTATCATTTATCAACACTGACAAGCTGTCATCTCAGGCAGAAGGGGTAACAGTCTGAAACTTCAGTAGGGGTAAATTAGCTTCAATATTTAGTAAATTGCTGTAGAAGTTACAGGAAGAGGTGATGGAAGACTAGTCAAAGGGAAACTGTTCAGATCTGTTATTTATGGTTTAGAGATGGTGCAATCAAATTTGTTATGGTAGAGAAGGCTACATAAAACAGCCAAAATTCCTTGGACCACAAATTATCCAGTGAGCAAAATTCAGACTGACATATAAGGAGTGTGATTTTTTTTATCAGTAAGTGGATTTGAACCTTTCTTAAAATAGTTCATATCATTTCAAGGTCTGAAAGAACATGTGAGTTATTCCTGTCTCCAGAAAGCTAGAGAGGTGAATGGGACTTTGAAAGGCAAATTTGCCCCTAAGAGGTCTTATCAACTGCAGACTGAAGCAAAGGTATCTGTAGGGTAGTTGACATATAACTTGCAGCCAGATGTCAGTTGCTGTGCCTGCTTTTGGCACTTGCTGGAAGCTGTCTGGCTAGCTTAGCACAGCAGTGACTGTGTGTCTCAGCAGAGCTTGTTAGGCCAGCTTCATCCTGATGCGTATTGAGACATGAGCATTGTGCACTCGACACCTTTTGACTTCAAATTTAATTTGTTTCTATCTTTGGTGGGAAAACTCGTAACTTCTCAAAATCTGGCTGCACCGATGCAGGAAGACTCACCAGGACTCAGAACGCTTCTGGTAGCAGCATGTGGAGACAATCACAAATGGAGTGACTATTTATAACTGCCCAGATCTGTTCAGGCAAACTGTCTGTCACTGATCCGATGTCTTAGAATCAGCTTTAGAAATACAGACATGCACAGTTTTCAAGGCTGTAGGGAAGCAGACTCGGGTAATGCCTATTTCCCTTCTGCCAGCAGGAAGACTATAGTGTGGCACTGAACCTTCTGCTGGCACAGGATATTTCAAGGATGTCCTGGAAAAAATTTTCCTGAGTTGTTGTTACACAGTGAAGAAGAAACATTGCTAAATCAAAGTTTTTTTCCTGAAGCAAAGATTCAAGATCATTGAATAGGTGGAGAAAGTGTGACAGGATGGGGTCTGGAAGGCAGTGTGGGATGATCTTGGGTAGCACTTGTTGGAGGTGTATATAAACCTCACCTAGGTGACTTCGAATAGCTAGAACAATACAAGGCAACCAGCTGAAAGTCAAATTTCTGCATTTTTTGCCAATCATGAGTTTGGCTTTGTGTATCTTACGAATTATGTTTTTAAAATAAATTCTGATGAATAAGGGAGTGTCCTGTAGCAGCATTGGTTTTCTTTGTTGACATGAATACCTCATATCTCATTCGGAGGAGTTTTATGCTTTGCTTGTAATTAAGTTCAAATAGACAGTACAAATTCTTTAACTATTGTGAAGGTTGAATTTAACTTCTCTTCAAAAGTGTGTAATGCCACATTTATGAACATGCAGTTAGGGCATTTGTTAGGAAGTGACATAATGGCATAAAAAGAGCTCTGGCAATGTGAGACTTAACCATCTCTCTCACTCTTAAGAGTGATAGAATCTGATTATAACCTTCTATAACTCATTATAACCTTCTGATACAATCCCCCCAATTTGGTAATTGAGAAAAAGCACTAATTAAGCTAAGTGTATGAAGGTTGACCTAGGATTTGTTTATATCCAACATTGGCTTAGTTCTGATCTCACTCACTCGAGTTCTATGCTTGCATTAATATAATCAATTCTAATTCTTTGTTTTAGAATTATTTGAGCCAGATCAAAAGCAGAACACATTCTTGTCTCATATCTACAAAAATGTTATCAAATTTTTCCTGTTGTCACTTGCTTTAACACACATAGCAGTTAAAAATCAACAAAATTAGAGACATAAGTGAGGTAGGATCCCATGTAGCAACTACTGTTGAGAATAAAAAATAGGTCATGCAGAAGGTAATCAGGCTGAGTGCAAAGTTATGCCAGGAATCAGAACTGGTTTGAGGCTAAACTGTGTCACAGTTCAGGCTGGTGCTGAAATCCATCAGTATTTTTATGACCAACAACATTTTTTCCACTGTTTTAAACCAATCTGAGCTGACTTTTTTACTGGGAAAGTATCAAAACGCATCTATGTGTTAAAGTTCATAAATACATGTATCCCTGCAAGATTCACAATAAGCATGCTAAGGACCCAGTCTAGTTCTCTTAGTCAGAATTGCTGCTGTCATGGAATACACATTCACTAGCCAGTATATTTGTCCTTACCATTTTCAGCGCTCTTTCTATATCAATTCCTTGGCTCCACGGTACTGCAGGGTTAGCCAGGCAGTCTCCAGCACTACCTCTCCTGGAGACATCCACACGCTGTCTTCGGAGGTAACGGAAAGCCTCTGCTATGACTAGGACTGCATCATGGGTCAGCGCAGATGTATACTAAAATTGATGCACATAAAATATGGTGACAAACTGCAATCTTAGAATTGCCCCAGGTTTATCAGGTTAAAATACTCTAAGAAGAATCATGCTTTCGTGCTTGCAAAGCCCCTTTGCTTGCTCTCTGTCTTGCCGCAGGTACTTTATGTAGTTTAACAATTCCATCTATTTCAATTAACAAATTAAAAATATTTTCCTTTTTCATAGCATATAGCAGGAAAAAAACAAAACTGGTTTAGAGTTGCATAAGGTTTAAATTTAATTGTAAGCTTGCTCATCTAAATGAGGTCACTAGAAAAGTCTACAATTCCATGCTGGCCCATACTGCTACCAATAGCAACGAAGAGCTCATATTTGGTTTATGCTTGGAGTATTCTTTTTTCTTTTTAACAAGATTGCCAAGACAGTTTTGAATTGAAGTTAACATAAATCATTTCTGTTTGGACCACGAACCTGATTAGGTAGCATCTGTGGCAAGGAATACATCAGATTACTTTTCTTAGAAGATAGCTATACAAGCAAGTAATCACAAAATACATTTCAGGCATTACATCTCCTTGGTAATTCCCCATCTGCCTTCTTGTATTCCATGGTAAATCCTGGGAGAGTGGTGAGCTTTGTGTAGCAGCAACTCTTCAACAAAACCCCCAGTCTCCTTAACTACTTGTTCATGTTGCTGTCAACTTCATCCATTGATTGTTTTGTGTATCTGGTGACAGCCCCTAATACTATAAATTTAGTATCACGAAATGTCATGGAGGTGTTTTTTTCACATTTTTTTCCACATTTCTGTGTTTGTCTGAGCTTCTTCCCTCCTAGAGTGGCCCAAGCTTTCCATATCACTTCTCTGCTTTTCATCAGCATTACGGTACACCCATAATTTAAGGTTCTGTATACAGGAGACCATATCAACATGTACATTAGGAGCAACTGAACGTGCGCAGTGTGTAAGGCCAGATTTTAAACCCTTTATAACTGACCCTTTGTATTTCCACAGTGTTTGTAAGAGAATGAAGAGAAGACAAAAGGAATATAAGGGGTATCTGCATGTACTGGTGCATCTGCCCTTCTTTTGGCTATCTGTATGATACTGTAATTCTCCTGGCTCCCGATGAACCTTACACTGGAGACAGTGCCAGAAGAAATGCTGCCCATGCATGAATCAAATAGGTGAAAATCCAAGTTTCAACCGCACACTCAGCTATGCACTTTGGGGATAAGACTTATTAAATTCAGAAGAAGTTAATTCTGTACTGTAGGGCAGAAATACAGCACCACAACTGGTGGTCTGTATTTCTCAAAAATGTGTATTATCTTATTGCAAGCTCTTCAGTTGGATATAAAGCCTTAGAAAATATGCACAGTATGAAGTGTGTCTACACGTGCACATCAAGAGAATTGTATCTGATAAAAAAGAGAGCAAAGCTAGGATTGTGAAGAAGGTTAAACAGCATTCTTACTGAGTTTTAAATTACAGCAGTTTATAAACTCTTACTGGGGGTGTGTGGGGTGGTTTCTGCTCTGCCTGTATCTAGGTACAGGTGCTGTTTTGATGCTGCCCACCTTTACCTCTTCCTGCGGTGCTTTGCCATGATCACCCTCTCCTCTTTTAGGAAGTTAACAAAGGTTATACGTCACATTCCACACAATATTGTAGAACCAGATAGTAATTTTAAGGTATTTGTTCTTGTATTAAAAAACTCTTGTAATAGTTGTCCAGTCTAGCACTGCATAAAACTTACTGATAATTTTTTCAGCAGACTGCGTCAATTGTCAGTAACCTTAATGCAGTCCCTTCCAAGTCATGCCAAGAGAGCTATCTAATTTTCTACTTTATTTGAATTCTACTTATAAATGCATGAGCATGCAAAGAGAAAAAAAGAGAGAGAGGAGGGAAAGGGTGATAAAATAGAGAATAAATTAAACATCAGAGCTTTAATCTCTAGGCAATTTTACTTCCTAATCAAAAATATTGTACATCAATTTTTAAGTATGCTTTTTGTCTGATTGACAAATACTGTGCATATTTCTATAATGAGCGGTACATTTGTGGAAAGGTAATGTAATCTTTGTGTTTGTACCATATACTTAAGACTCTTTTTTAAGGATGGAGAATAATTTTTCCCTCAACGTAAATTGCTTTCAAGTGGAATAAAATCTTCCCAGGTTAACTTTATATATTTCAGAGCTTTTAAAATTAGTACGATACTTATCTTCACTTCTGCATCGCTCCTAGGAAGCTTTAGAAAGCAGGCCTAGGCCCTAATCAACAGGGAGCAACACACTAATCTGAGTTTTGTGGGCCCTCTGTTTCCTCTGAAATGCCAGCAAGGCTGAAGGATGGTGTGGGATTAGATAATTTTCCTTCCCCACAGAAATGACATGATCTTAGGGATGGAAAAGTATGTCTCTGAATGGCACTGGTCTTCAGGCAGCAGAGCCTCATAACTTGTTCCTATTCTGTCCGTAGTCCAATAGAGTGCTACCACCCACCCTGGTATCCCCCACATGCATTGGACTGGACTAGATTTTTCCTTCCTAGCTAATATTTTATGCTTCCTTGAGTTTTGTCTTACTAATATCAATACATCACTCCAGTTTATTGGAGTAATTTTGAATTCTAAATCAGTTAATCAATTTGCATGTACCCCTCTCAAAGCAAGAAGGAAAGACAAGAACTTAGATAGGTTTGGCTTCCCTGAGACAGTATACATGTGGAGGACTGGACTTCCAGGAGTGACAGAATTTAAAGTCCTCTCATCCACCACCATTCATTCCCCTATGTGTACTGATGAAAAAGAGAAGGCATCACCAAAAGAGGAAGAGAAAGAAGGAACGTAAGAGGAATATCAATAATATGCAGTAATGGAAGATTTTATGACTTCCATCACTGGACAAGTATCCTTGACGCACTCCTCAACTGGGCAGTGAACAGCATCCCCCTCTACTATAGAGATGCTGAGGCAGAAAAAACATCTTGGGGAGATATTAACAGGTTGCAAGTCTCCCAATAACAGTAGCCTTTAGTTCACCTGGTCTAAAACAGTTTTGGTGAACCTGGGACTTTAATTAAGAAAAAATATAGACGATTTTATTGGTTGCAGATATAATATCCAGATTGTTTAAGTAAAGGACAGTGGTGCAAAATACAGGGTTAGATTATGTGGGCGACTTTTAGCAGTGACTAGGAGGTGGCAGTGGCTCCTCAGTGAATCTAGAGCTACATTATTTTGCACATGAAATTCTCTATTAGCATTAAAAGGGACCAGTAACCCACAGTTTGCATCTAAAAACTAACCTAACATCCCAAGACTAACTCAGGAAGTTCAAGTTAATGACAGGATTTGCAAGACCAAGCCTTTGCCTTGGAGGAACTACCACCATAGTGGGCACTTGTGTCCAACTAACAGTCGCTGCCTCTTCCTCTCTCCTGAAAGGGCAGTGAACGTTGCAACATATTCTAATCAGGGATTTGTATCATCCACATGCACACACCCGGGGTTAAAAAAACCCAAATAATTGTTAAAAGCAACTCATACAGTCTCCATCATTGTCAGGGTAAAATAAATACCTTTAATGGTGAGTTTTTGGCTTCAGGGAATTCCCTTTCATCGAGCCTCACCCAGCGTTGTAGAAACTGTTGAACCATTGGGTTTTCATTATTAACAATCTGGAATCCTGTAACATTGGCACCTCCGTGCATTACTCTCTCCAGAACAATGTCGGTGAAACCCTGGGAGGGCACATGTAGAAAACAAGAATCATCGCCATCCGAAGTCCTTTCTCTTTGGCTGAGTTTTACCTGCTACAAGCGTGGCACGAAATAAACTGATTAATTTCCCTCTTGTTAGCTTGAAAATATTCTACCAAGGAGACAATTACTATCACAATCCCAGTGTGATAGTGGCACAGAATAGAGTTTAAGATGTCTTCTTTTCAGACTTTTGCAACAGACATCTCTCCTGTTGTGTTGTGGCAATGTGGTATGTAATATGCACTGGTCAGAAAGAAAACAGTGAGGAAACTTGAAGTACTATTTCCTCTTTTTTCCTCATCATAGTGAAAACTGGTCAAAAACCTCAATCCCATTTGTACAGCAAAGTGCACATGAAGGTTCAGGGCTGGGAGCAGAAAACCACTCAACATCCATATTGTTCCATGGAAGCAAAGTGCACACCTCTTGCTAGGCAGTTCTCCATCACAGCATTACTTAACATTTCACTTGCAAACACAATGGTCTGATTCTCTCCCACTCTGTTGTTATTTATACCTGAGGCAGTAAATTGGTGTCTTTTTGATGAGTATGACTTGATTGCAGTCATGTTTATCTGAATTTCAGTGGTTGTACATGCTAAAAGGCAACCCAGAATAAGAACCCCTGTATTTCCACGCACACAGTAATCAGTGAGATCATGACTGGTTCTTATAATACAAAATGACCCATCTTAAAGTCATACAGCACTTGTACTAAATAAAGGCATTTTTAAAATTTGTCTTTTCTGATTTAATCACACCAAAACATGGATACAGAAAATCTTATACTGAGTGGGATTGCTAACTTGAAAGTGTGAGTTTTGAAAAACATTTTTCCACTCACAGTAGACACAGAAGCCAAAAATTAGTCTCACTGCAGGATCAATTAAAATATAACACTTTTTCTAAGGAACACGAGTAGATAGTGTTTCAAAGGCATCATAAACATCCCTGAACTCAATTCTAGAATCCAGAAGAAGCTCTGATACAGATGAAAATGTACTGTCTTGTCCTGGTAGGTCAACACATACACAGGCACAACTCTGTGCTTTGAAATACAAAAGAATAGCTAAATAGCCTGGTTGGTTTACTTGATGGAATTGTTAATTTTTTCAGCTTTTTATCACTCATTTTGTACACAAATATGCTACAATTATTTTTCCTGGAATGCTTACATCTCAAATATGCTACATGGAAGATTATGGCTACCAAGTGTCTTATTTATGAGGATACAAATTAGTGGAAAACTTATAATTACATTAATATTTTAAAATTATTAGAGGATTCTTAGACAAAAGAAAGACTGTAATTGAGAACAACTGACTATAACATACCAGTTCTAGTGTTTACTGAAATAACTTCTCAAAATCCAGGAACTCATCCGTGCATTTCCTCTTTCGCCGATTAAAGTTGCCAAGACCTGAACAGAATGTATTACCCTCTAAAACTAAACTTAGTTATACTTGTAATGAAGAAAGTTCTTACCAGGTTAGCTAACATGTAGTGATAGCCTCTAGAATGTTTGCCAAGGATTACAACCTGTGTGAAGAGAAAAATTTACATGTTATTCACTTTTAAGAGGATAACTCCTAACTAGTGGAAAACAGCCAGACAATGAACATTTTTGTAATCCTCTATGCCCAATCCATGGGCAGCATGAGTATTACAGATCTGTGGCTTTTCAGATACGATGCTGTCATGTGTGTTTTTAAAACACACAGGCAGAGTACAAAGAAGGGTGACACAGAAGGCGAAAAGACTCCACTTGCAGAGATGACCTTACCTGACAAACTTACCCTTGTGATCAGTGTATCCCCTGCTGACCAGGTTAATTTTAGTTATCAGTTCAAGTATTTATGCTCTGAAATGAGGTAACATTCTATCTACCCACTCAATAAACTCCTGTTTACTTTTTTCCTTGCTTGTGGAGGAAGCAGGTGACATGAGAGGCGGGTGACACAGCCCAGTCACTCACTGTGTTTATTGAACTGTACCTACACAGCAGGGTTCAGAAGCTCCAGGTGGTACATGGGGTTTCCTGCCATAAGAACCCTGGTGAAGCCTTGTCATGTATGAATACTTGAAGTTAAATTCCTAAAGTTATAAGCAGTGACTTTCATTGCCTTTTGACAGCTTGTACACATCCTGTGTACTTGTCCCCACTCCTGTGCTTTTGCAGAACAGAGGAAAAAAACACATCTTCCATGTCTATGCAGCTGGCTGCTGGCTCACCAGCAATACCCCTTGTGCAAGATTATGCCACTGCATTTAGCAGTATTCCCTTGCCTTCAGATTATAAACTCAGTAACATCCATTCAGTCCCACAGCCATCAGGTGGAACAATGTCCAGCAGTAAGAATTAAATTAGTAATTGTGGTGATGACATGTGTGTCAGGACAGAATCAAACTTACCCAGACTTGCTGGGTTAAACTAATAAAAGCCAAAGATAGCAAACATAACACTGGCGATGCACCACAAGTGTATCACCGACTGTATCCTATGAGCAGTTCAAGTGAACAGATGATGATTTTTGATGAAGAATCATCTGAAAATCGATATACACCATACTAACGTACTTCTCCACGGTCACAGATAAATGCTTCAAATGCCATACTCTAAAAGACATCTTTTCAACACGACCACTTAACGTCTTTGCTAAAAACAGATGACATTTGAGTCACTGACTTTAGATACACTGCTGAGCCTGTTAAAGTTCTTGATTAAATTATTAAGTTCCCAATTGCCTCTTTGGATTGTCTTGTCCTTAATAGATGCCATTTCTTTTAAATTCACATTTCATTCTGTAGGAATTTACATACTTCCAGCAGTCTGAAAATAAATTGCTGCTCAGGTCCTCTTGAGAACTGCATGTACATGCTGTTGGTAGAAAGCATCTGCTTTCCTACACTCACATTTGTTTTCTATGGAAATGTGCAGGCTTCCTTCAGATCATCTGGTGCTTGTGCCATTTACATACTGAATTCTCTGTATGTTTTAATTTCACCTTAAAGTCAGCAACTTACTTTTAAAAGGTTAGAGACAAAGAACCTATTTAACAAAAATACTATTTGTCATTTTAACCTTAATAACAAATAAGAAAGCTTTTACATTTCTATCCAGAAATGTGTTTAAGAGAAAAAACCCACGGCAGGTGAAGTCAGAGGCTGTAAGTAAAACATATGTGGAGCTGCTACAGGCATCAGGAGCAATACTGCAAATAGGAAATGTAGGACCCATTAGCATAGCTCAGATTCAACTTCTGTCTCATCTGTTGTCATGTCTCCAAAATGACCAGAAATCATTCTGTTTAGTCCTTTAGAGAGGTCCGACGTACTACAGCCAAGCTTTAATTCATAAAGTATCTTTCAGAAGTGATCTGCCAGTATATCTACTCACACAATCAACCATGATAGTTCATAATTATTTAACTGGATCTTAACAATGTTTCCAAAATTCACTACACACACTGTCCTAACTCTTAACAATCACAACCCTCCTCCTCTCTCACTTTCCACCCCCCACCAACTGTCCAGCATCTTCAATGGAGCTGCTGGATTAGTGAGCCCAGCAGAAACAATCACAGACATCAGTGTTACTCCTAGGGGAAAAAAAGGATGGATAAAGCTTTTTTATGAAGAAGGAAAACAGGAGTATAACAAATAAATCTCATCAACTGCTTATACATTGTGAAGCTGATATAGAAAGTAGGATATTGAATGGTGATGGTGAATAGAAAGCCAGGCTTACAGGATATGGATTTTACAGAGCCACATGTCTTTGGGTAAGTTTCACTTCCGAGACTTAATTTTGCTTTCACCTTGACTGAAAGAAAAGCTCATAAGATTTTATACTGAACAAAGGAGGAGGGAAAAAAAAGGCTGGAAACTATCATGAATAATTCAGACTTCTGATCTTGCATAATTCTTGCCTTGTAGATAAAAAGATCATAATGTCAGGTTTGATATAGAATTAAATAAAGTTTGTATTTTTAATTAACTCTTTGGATATTCCCAATTAATTAAGAGAAAATCTAGAGGAAACATAATTAAAATGTATCTGGTTTTAAAATAAAAGTCAAATCTGCTGGCCAGCATCAGGCTTACTGGAAGTACAGACCTATGTGCCAGATTTGAGAAATTAAGTCAGCACTGCCAATTTTAGTTTTTCATTTGCCTGGGGAAGTTATTTTTTGAATGAAAGCTTAAAGACAGCTTGGTTTCCACTGCATCAGTCATCATGATAATAAATAGGCAACTACAATTTTTTTGCCTCAGCTTTCACATTCTTACAGTTTTGGAAGATAGCATTATAGAGATTAACTGGCTAATATTAAATTCCTATGGAGCATTGTGATATTTCTAAAGTAATAATGATGATTCTCTCGTGATGTAGTTCAAAGCCTACACAACACCTAAGAGGAAGGACAGTGAAGAGGAAGCAAAATAACTTTAATACTAACCTTGCAATTACTCCGTTACCTTTTGACTCATTCCCCACTCAAAATTAGAAACAGAGCTGGTTCCTGGTCTAGAACATGGATCTGGGGTTTTTGGCCATGAAAATTAAATGTTGGAGTTAAGGGTGAAGGGAACATTATGAGAAGACAGGTGAACTCTTAGACGAAAGTCAAGGCAGGAAGCCATTTTAAACAGTAGTGATGGAGACAGATCCAGGGGTTTCGCTGGAATATTCCTCCAAAGATTTGACAAGGAACTAGAATGGTAAGAAGGGAGTGTGTAGGTGAACAGTAGTAACAGACCAGAGGCAAGGAAAGAATGAGTTAATGAAAGACAAGACTCTCTGGGCTCAAAAGAAATCAAGCGATGGAAAAATAGTGCAAGTTTGGTGGGTGGGATTGAGCAGTCATATCTCGTCTTTTAAAAATACCAATGGTTTGTCTCTGATTCATAAAATGGAAAGACAATTTTTCTTGTATGGATGGAAGAAATCACAGAACAGGTAAGGCTGGCAGGGGCCTCTTCCAATCCCCTACCTCAAAGCAAGGGCAGCTAGAGCTGGCTTATCAGGACCATGTCCACTCAGGTATTGAATATCCCCAATGACAGAGATTCCACAAAGTCTTTGGGCAGCCTATTTCAATGTCTGATCACCCTCACAGTAAAAATATTTTTCTTAGGTTTAAACAGAATTTCTTGCATTTCAGTTTGTGCCTTGCCTTTTGTCTTGTCACTGGGCAGTGCTGAGACTCTCAAACTCAGTGAGATTCTCCGAGAAGAGTCTGGTTCCATCTTCATTCCTTCCCATCAGGTATTTGCAGACATTATTAATATATTGCCTGAGTTTTCTCCTCTCCAGGCTACACAACTGAAGTTCTCTAAGCCTTTCCTTGTATGTCAGATGCTCCAGTCCCTTATTCGTCACAGGGGCCCTTCACTGGACTTGCTCCAGGATGTCCATGCCTTTCCTATGCTAGTGAGCCCAGAACCGTACACAGCACTTCAGTGCTGAGTGGAGGGGAAGGATCACCTCTATTGACCTGCTGACCATGCTAATCATATACAGCCTAGGATGCTGTTGGCCTTCTTTACTGTGAGAGTGCAGTGCTGGCTTGTGTTCAACTTGTCTGCCAGGACCTCGAGATCCTTCTCTGCAGAGCTGCTTTCCAGCCAGGAAGCCTCTACCCAGTCTGTACTGGTGCATGGAGGTTTTTTTTTTCCCCTAGGTGCAGGGTTTTGCATTTCCCTTTGTTGAACTTCATGAGGTTCCTCTCTGTCCACTTCAACAGCCTGTCAAAGTGTTGGAGCACAACCACCTGGCATATCAAACACTCCTCCTAATTTGGTATAATCTGCAAACTTGCTGAGAGCGCGCTCCATCCCATAACCTTCTCTTTAATAGAGAGGTTAAACAGTATTAGCCCCAGTACCCTTAGGGTACTCCAAACAGTAACTAGCCTCCAAACAGTACTAGCCTCCAGCTGGCCTTTGAGCTGCTGATCACAACCCTCTAAGCCCAGAAGTTCAGTCAGTTTTAAATCCACCTTACTGCCTCTGTGGACTTTGATTTTAAAGTGTCATTGAAAAATACAAGCTAACAGGATATGCTTGCACTTTTACCTGGAGGAGTAGCTATCACGATTTTGGCAGCAGTGAAAAGAAAACTACCATGTCCAATTAACACTTATTTGGAGCTCATCTTCCCTTCATTTGAATCCACCACCATCTGCTCAGTTTAGTCTGTTTAATCAAAGTTATTTATCATCGTTTATTTACAAATAAAAAAGAGAGAAAAAAATTGGATCGCAAAAGTACAGACTACCTCATCTACAGCTCAAAACCCTGATATTTTATGAGTCTATTAGATCTTTCCATAACATACAATACAGACGCTGACAGGCAGTATTACCACAAAGAAGGTTTAAAGATTTTTTACTGTGCTTTTCATACCTGACAAGTGGCAGAAATATGCCACTTAAAGAGAACGACAGGCAGAGATCTGATCTGCTGCAATGTGTCTTTCTGTTTCGACCACATCTGGGAACAATGAGGTAGTTTAACTCTAGAAACTCTGCTTTCCT